GCTTTGGATAAAAGCGTCAGCTAAATGCAATGTAATGTAATGTAATGTAAAGATGTGGATGGGTAAAGAAATTCCCAGCTGATCCGTTTTACTCCTTCGGAGTGTGAATATGAGAGAGTCGTTTGCCGTGGAGGGCTAACAGCTGCCGTTTTGTGCATCTGTCTGCCTATAAGTAGTTTGACAAGAGGAGAGTGATGCGCTGTACTTTCTCTGAGGATAGAGAATCCTGGAAAGACATTGAGTCCAGGGTGATGTCTAGAAACTCAATGGAGGTTGTAGGCCCTGAGGTTTTCTCTTCAGACAGAGAAATGCCAAGGTCTGAAAAATGTTTGTATGAGTGTGCTCAGCCCGTGGCAGGGGGGTGAGGATGGTGGAGTGACAGTGAGAAAGTCGTCGAGAAGATGGAGCACATAGGGGAGTCTGTGGTTGTTTGTCAAGATCCGGCACAGAGCTTCTGAAAGGGAGTCAAAGATTTTGGGACTGCTTCTGCAGCCGAATGTGAGGCGTACTGAGAAGTAATAGGCTCCCTTCCAGTACGCTCCAAAGAAACGCCAGGAGTCTGGGTGAATAGGCAAGATCTTGAGTGCACTGGTGATGTCTGCCTTAGAGAGCCATGCTCCCCGGCCTGCTGAGCAGATGAGGGTGATGGCGTGGTCGATGTTTGCGTATTGCATCGAAAAGTCTGGGCTTGGAATGACGCTGTTAATGCTCGGGATGGCTGAGCCGTGTGGAGAAGACAGGTCTATTATGAGCCTCTTTTCCCGGAGTATTTCCGAGTAGCTATGCCTACTGGACTGATGCGGATACTGGAAAGGGGGGACTATCGAATGGCCTATCATGAATCCTTCTTTGACTTCTTTGGCCAGTAAGGTGTCGAAGGTGTGAGGTTCTGTTAAAGCGGACTGAAGATTGTGGCAGATGTGAGATGTGTCAGGCAGTATTGCTATGCCTGGGGGAAACCATGGGTGAAGCCATTGGTGAGAAAGTAAACAAACTATCTGGATGATTCACTGAGGCGGTAGCTAAGTTGCTTATCTTGACGGTTGTGCTGAGGTGCCGTGCTATTCAATCTGCTGGTGTAGTTGGGTTGTGAGGGCAGGTGCTCCTGGCATGAGCGCCGCCGCAGAAAGAGCAGATGTGCATGAGGCGGCAGCTGGAAAGAGAGCAGCCTAGGTCATTGAAATTGTTGCGCACCATCCTGCCTCTCTGGTAGAGGATTGGCCTTCCGCGTCTGTTGACGCCCTTTTAAACGGGGCCGTTGGTTGGTTAACGTTCGTTTGCGGGCCTAGAGATGATGGGAGGTGGGGGTGCGGCAGGTGACAGGCGGTTGAAGGTTGAGGCGTTGCCTCTTGAAGGAAAGGGGAGTGAGCGGGGCGGCTCGGGTGGCGGGGCGCTGACTGACCACGCTGAGGCCGGGTGGGAGGGGGCTCCGCATAATTGACAAGAGAGGGATGCGCGTGCTGCGAAGATGCGGCAGTAAAGCTCGGAGTCCAGAGCGCCCCAGTATGTTCCCTGGTTGAACTGCTTGATGCGGCCGGCGGCTTGGCTAGCAAAGTGGACGTGGTAGGTGTAAAAACCTGAGTCTCCGAAGTGTAAGGCCATGTCGAGCTCTATGAGGAGGTCGTCCAACTCGGTTCTGCGTGTGGGATAGACTGAGCACATGACGTCGCGGTAAAGGGAAAAAGCTAGGGCGAACTCTGCGGGGGTTAAGTCCTTAGACCTCAGAGGTGATGGATTTCGCAGCTGGACTAAACCGAAGTTGGTCTGCATTTCCCTGGGCTGGCTAGTGTCGATGATTGATGGCTGTAGTAGCTGAGCCAAGTCTACGTAGTTACCTAGGAGAATCTGTTGGCGCAAGATGGGGGACACGGGGGAAGGGCGATAGACTGTGGAGGCTGGCTGGATGGGTGGTGTTGCTGTGGCTAGAGTTTAGCTGGTTGCACAGGGAGGATGGAGTAGGGATGGGGAAGGGATGGGGTAGGGATGGGGGGAAAGGATAGAACAGTTGGGAAAAGAAGGTACTGGGTAAGAGTCGGCTAATGGGTTAGCATGTAGCATGGCCCCCCCGGGTTACTGTGACGTCACGACCTGTGGTGCGCGCGCCGCGCGGTGGTTGGCTCTGGAGCAGGAAGAGTTGTGTGTCTCGTTGGTCTTGCCGTTGTGCTGCTGTAGGCTTTGTAGAGGTTGAACAGTCTAGCCTTGTTGTCATTTCGGTGAAAGTCGATGCCGTTTTCTCTCAGGAAACGTTGGAGTTGAATGACTGTCCACCTCCTGAGTTCGGGCTCCGTTTCGGAGTGCGGCTCCGTCCGAGAGGCGTGTCGAGTGCGCCGCTGCGAGTGGCCGGGGGCTGCTAGTGGCCGGGGGCTGCTAGTGAGGCAGGCTGCCGTTGGTGGGGAGATTGGAGCTGGCTGTGCCTGTTGTGGCCCCGGTTGTTTGCCCACGCTGGCGGAGTAGACGAAGCCTGGGACCTGTCTGGAGTTGGAGGTGTCTCGTTGGGGGAGCTTGAGTGGGAGCGGTGGCGGCTGGTGTGTGGGACACTGATTGCCGAGCGCCCGCGGCTCCGTTTGGATGCTTGGCTAAGATCCAACTGCTGAAACGTGGATGGCGGGTAGCCGATGTCGAAGAGATCTTCGTCTGACTCCGGTGAGTTGATCAGCAGTTCGGGATCCATGGTGAGTTGAATGTTCTCGTGGTAGCGTTTAGCTTGTTTGAACCGTGACGACGCGCGGCGTGAATCACGGTCTGGCTGTCAGTCCTTGAAAGGATGGAGACAAGCAGTGGCCGGAAGTTTTGCCGGATATAAATAGGGGTGGCCGTGGTTCGAGGCGGAGTTTTAGGCGTGGCCATGCTCCTGAACCTATGTTAACAATTTAACCTAATTTACAGTTAACTCTCACAGTAACGTGATCAATCCACGTTACATCAAACATTGCCTTTGTATTCAGTATAATTCAGTTTGCTGAAGCTCTTCACGTGTTGATGGAGTTTAATGAGATCCATAGAGGAGTTAGCAGTCAGATAAAAAACCTCCCACAGACTCAGTCACTGTCTGTCACTCTTTGTGTGAAGCATTAGCACTCTGCATCACAGCTTGCATGTTACTGCAAGAGAGACTGTTCAGGTATTGTTCATGAGAGTGAACATATGATCTGCCTGCATTACTGATGGATGCTCAATTCAATGTGACATCACTTTTGATGGGCATGTGGAAGTGCAGAGATATAGATATCTGTATTTTGTGATCATGTTTATGTTCTGATCATCTGCAGTAATTCCACTACTGTGTGCATCATTGTTGTTCCAGGGTTCGTACGGTCATTGAAAACCTGGAAAAGTCATGGAAATTCAAAATGCAAATTCCAGGCCCTGGAAAAGTTATGGAAAACGATATTTTTCCCAAAGTTTTGGAAAAGTCATGGAAATGTAACTAAAGTTGCGTCAAATATAATGTACATTTGATCTAATCACCGAAATAATCTGCGGTCGCGAGCTGTTAGGTGCCATCATGACGCGCATGGTGTTATTTTTTAATATATGAAGGGCGAGCTGTGTGCTCGAGTCTTCCTGCCTGTCGGCTGAACTCTGCTGCTCCGGGATGAGGGTCAGCTACATTATCTACGGTGCGTTCGTTAACTGTGCGGAGTCACTGTGGCACGGACTGAGCCGCTGGTGAACAGCTGTTAGAACGGGCCGTTCAGGTGTTCAGAGCAGAGCGGCAGAGCGTGATGTGAACTGGAACGTTTTTCTGTCGCAATATTATTTAAGGAATCGTTGAGCTAGCTAGCTAGCATACATTGTCACTATCTGCTAACGTTAGCTTTAGCCTTCGTTTTCTAATAGTTTTTTTCATAGGCTATAAACAGAGGTGGTATAAGTATAGATATTTACTAGAGTAAAAGTAGAAGTACTCAGATCTTGTACTTTAGTAGAAGTACTCAGATCTTGTACTTGAGTAAAAGTAGAAGTACTCAGATCTTGTACTTGAGTAAAAGTAGAAGTAGGCCTACTCAGATCTACTTGAGTAAAAGTAGAAGTACTTAGATATTGTACTTGAGTAAAAGTAGAAGTACTCAGGTCTTGTACTTGAGTAAAAGTAGAAGTACTCAGAGCTTGTACTTGAGTAAAAGTAGAAGTACTCAGATATTGTACTTTAGTAGTAGTAGGCCTACTCAGATCTTGTACTTAATAAAAGTAGAAGTACTCAGATCTTGTTTTTAAGTAAAAGTAGAAGTACTCAGATCTTGTACTTGAGTTAAAGTAGAAGTGCTCAGATTTTGTACTTGAGTAAAAGTAGAAGTACTCAGATCTTGTTCTTGAGTAAAAGTAGAAGTACTCAGATATTGTTCTTGAGTAAAAGTAGAAGTACCAGAGTGTAGGAATACTCTGTTACAGTAAAATCATTCAAAATGTTCCTCAAGTGAAAGTAGAAAAGTATTCTCAAATAAAGTAAAAGTAGGCATTGTGCAGATTGGTCCATTTCAGAATAATATATATGATATGTTTTATAATGATTGATCATGAAAGTGTTCTCAAAGCTGGTGAAGGTGCAGCTAGTTTGAATGACTTTGTATACTGCAGGGTAGCTGGAGGATTTACTCCAGGTGGAACTAAAGTCTGATTTAACACTTGATTATATTTCACATCATTCATCCACATCTGTAAAGTAACTAAAGGGATTAAATACATGTAGTGGAGTAGAAGTACACCATGTACCTCTGAACTGTAGTGGGGTAGAAGAACAAAGTAGCAAAACATTGAAATACTTAAAGTACAAGTATCTCAAAATTGTACCCAAGTATAGTACTTGAGTTTATGAACTTAGTTACTTTACACCACTGGCTATACAGATAGAAAGACTAAGCCTTGCACAGAGGCATGAAAATACATTTACTCAACAGTGCTGCCAGAATGATAAACTGACTGCTACACAATTAAAATAAAAGCTTTATATATTTCTATTAGATGTGACTCTTTGGCGTTTCTGTTATTATGACCTGCTGCTTTAGTCGCTCTGACTGCTAAACTCCTCTGTTATTCCTAAACCGATATTCCGTGGGGTCAGGGGTCGGGTCCTTGTCACCTTTTTCATACCTGATGACTTTGCCTCCCTGACTGCAGTTGCTTTAGCGAGTAGAAGCTAGTAAGCCTACTATTTGATTTGTTTTAGATCGGCACTACATGTTTCATATCAGACCTTATTTTCCTGTTCCATGTTCAAATAAACCATTTTCAGTGGTCATTCTTTTTGGTCATGGAAAATTAGGTAAAGGTCATTGAGAAGTCATGGAGAAGTGTATGAACCCTGTTATTCACAAAAGCCTCATGAGCCTATGTACATTACATCACAGGTCACTTGTTAGACGCTTTTATCCAAAGCGACTCACATACTCAATACTGTGGGCAATCCCCACAGGAGCACTTTGGGGTGAAGGGTCTCAGCTGACTGCTGCGGGGTTTGAACCTGTGACCCCCTGATACGAACACCAACGCTCAACCCACTGCACCACACGTACATGTTCATTGCAGCTTTTTTGATTGACTCTGTTCTTTATAGCACCAATATTTACCCCAGGCTTCTGATTGACTTCTTATCAGAGAAACAGATCATATGTTATCGAGCCCGTCTGTTTCAAAATGTGATGAATATGACTTTGACCTTTTCAGAGTGTTCACTGCTGGCAGCCATGGCCTGCGACAGATACGTGTCTCTCTGTAAACCTCTGCATTATTCAACCATCGTGAGGAAAAGAACTGTCGATGTCTGTCTGGTTTTGTCTTGGCTTCTGCCGACTTGTGAGACTGCATTGGGATGCATTCTTTATTCTAATAGCAAACTCTGCAGTTTTACTATTAGGGGGATTTTTTGTAACAATTCAATTTACAATCTTCAGCGTGTGAGCTCGAGCGCTCTCTCTGTATATGGAGTGCTCATGTTGGTAAATGTGTCCCTTCTGCCTCTTATCTTCATACTTTTTACATACACCAGGAGACTTATACTATCATATCAGAATGGTAGAGAGTACAGGAGAAAAGCTGCACAGACCTGTTGACCCCACCTGTTGGTTTTAATCAGCTTTCCCTGTTTATCTGATTTAGATCTTGTTATAATTCCTCTAGGATTCAATATTCCCAAAATGACACGTTTGATATTGACTTTGCAAATAGTTTCCTATCACTCCGTCTTCAACCCAATCATATACGGACTGAACGTGAAAGAAACCTCTAAACACCTTCAATTGTTGTTGTGTCGGATCAAATCACACTAATGTTACCTGGGTTGGGCGAAGAGTTACTAAACAAAGCACAACAAGTCAGGAAATGTGTGTTTGGTAGACGACTACTTGTTTGTCACAATGCTTCTTGGCATTACATTTCATACCGTTGGAAAGCCTGTTTATTTCTCTTTTCAATGGAGCCACATTTGTGAGGAACAAGCGTTTGTGGGATGAGAAGCAGAGCTGAGTGTGTGGGTCACGCCACGAATAATGTGCCAGATCTTCTCTGCCAATGCCAAACAGCTTTGTGTTGCTGTTGACTCTTTGTTGGTGTTGTGTTGTGTTTGTAAACTTGAATCAGTTTGTTTGCGCACATAAAAGACTGCATCAAATACAGATGATGAAAAATGAAGAACTGTGACAGAAGAGATCAGGAAGCTGCAGCTTTAACAGCCGCCCCCTCAGAGACAGATACTAACAATTACAAAGAAGAATCACAGATCATATTTACCCACCATAATAAAGTATACAACAAAAGCAAAAGCCTACATAGCAATAATAAGAGCAACTGAAAATACAAGTTCTTCTTCCCGCAATCCAATCTGTGTTGTCTTATTACGATAAACAATCGTAAGATGAGCAATCTTCACGATGAGTTCAAAAGAGCATTAACTTTTACACTCTAAGGTCAAGAGGTCAACATGTGGTGACAAAGTGATCAGAAATGACCTGAAGAGTGTGTGTGTGTGTGTGTGTGTGTGTGTGTGTGTGTGTGTGTCTCTCAGTAACATGATGCAATGTATTCAGATCACAGCCGTGTCCACAGAAGCTGATGTAATGAGGGTCTTTAGGGCCCCCCCCCAAAATCATGAATCAGCTAAATATTTTCTGTCTTCCACATAAACGTTTAGCAAATACAAAAAAGTCTAGTTTTAGTTGCGTCTCTAGGTAAGACTGGAAAGTGTGTGTGTGTGTCTATTAGTGTGTGTGTGTGTGTGTGTGTGTGTGTGTGTGTGTGTGTGGTGTGTGTGTGTGTGTGTGTGTGTGTGTGTGTGTTGGCCTCTCAGTAATATGATGCTAAGTGTTCAGATCACAGCCGTGTCCACAGAAGCTGATGTAATGAGGGTCATTAGAGCCCCTCCCCCCCTCTCCGACTACAGCCAGTGTACAAAGAGCTAATTATGACCCAGTGGTCACAGTGAGTCTCAGGGGGGGGGCGGGGGAGGGGGGGCTCTGTTGTCACAAACACAACACACACTCACCTGAGCTGCTGAGTAGCTGAGGTGATTATCTCAGTAATTGGTCCGAGGCGGTCAACAAAAAAGGTTTCTCCTTAGTCCTCTGAGGAGAGAAACTTTGGCCTGTTAGCAAACACATTAACAACAACTTTATAAGATCATTTAATACATGGTTATATAATATACAGAGTAATGCAAAATAATATGATGTAACACGTTATAATAATTAACATCAATAATAATAAAGTGGGACTTAATGATGTTTTCTGTAATCCACTCAAACATCCAAAATCCATATTAGGATTATGTTTTACTGTCTGTGTCTGACACACACACACACACACACACACACACACACACACACACACACACACACACACACACACACACACACACACACACACACACACACACAGTTTTCATCACTTTAGGGAAACAAACTCCTCAAAAGTTAGCATTATAACTCTTCATGAACATATTTAAACATGACATGTCAGAAAACGTGTAATGTAAAAGATAACTGTGTTAATGTCCGTAATGAGGGGGGGGGGGGGGTTCATGGTGATATCTGTTAGTTTATTGTTTACCCTATTCTCCTGTAGTGTGTACCACATGTCTGAGTTTTATTGGTCACAAATACATTTAAAAAGCACACAGTGAAATGTGGTCTCTGCTTGTAACCCATCCTAGTATAGCTATTGAGGGCCCTCTCCCAGCAGTAGCAGTCCACACTCCATTTTTAGATCTGTGCGGGGACTTGAACCGACAACCCTACGGCAGTTATTGCACATCAGAAGTCTGGTAGCTCTGTGTACAAATGTGCAAAATAATCTGAGGGTTGTCTGAAGATAAAAAAAGTGGACATCTCGTTTAATATCCAAGATGTACAGACATATTTAGCTGTATACGTTTTGACCTGTATGAAGACAGAACATTTGTAGATACAGCTTTGGGTCTCTAGAACATTTGCTCAGAAAATCTAAAGTGAAAAGTAACAAATAAAATAATAAAAATCTTGATCTCTAACGAGGGGTTACGTATGGTAACCCTTGTTATATAAGCACAGGCGGAGCCCTCTACTGGACTCTATGGGTACTACCTTATCATGCGAGCATTCACCTACTGAGACTTCTATAGACGTAGCCGGCCCCGGGGCGGGCCTACCTGAATGCGCGCGCATCTCACCGTATAAAAGGAGGCCTCGCCTCCTGACCGCCTCCAACACCTCTCTTCAGCGAGCGGTATAGGACAGACAGTGCCCAGAGTAGAGGGCTCTGCCTGTGCTTATATAACAAGGGTTACCATACGTAACCCCTCGTTAAATCTCTCACAGGCTCCGAGCCCCGATGTATACACATGCTAACTGTAGCTTCCAGCTCCGTTATCCGGCCGCTATGGTCCGTAGCAGCTCGTTCAAGCTCAAGCTCAGTTTGCTCGACTTTATCTTGTAATGGTCCTATTGACTCTTTTAGTTCTTTTCGGACAGAGGTGATCTCGGAGCGTAGGCTGGAAGACAAAGAGTACATTTTGCCAATAATGTCGGCTTTCAGGGAGTCCATCATTCTTTGTAAAAGTTCGGCGTCGAGTGCGTTAGCTTCAGCCACCCCTCGAGTAGCGTTAGCCGGGTCAGGCAAAGGCGAGGTTTTGCTGCGGCCTCCTCTCGAAGTCTTTGTAACTCTTTACAATTATTTTGTGTTTTTGAAGTATTTGTTGTCTTTTTAAAATAGTTTTGAGTCTCTTTGACATCTGTTTAACTCTTTAAAGTCGTCTGGTGTCTCTTTGTAGTATTTCTTTGTTTCTCTGTTGTTGCTTTGTGATTATTTTGAGTCTTTTTCTGTACGTAGCTCTTTTAGTTTCATTCTGTTGGTGAAGCCAAGAAGGGCTATGATCATTTAATAATAATAATAATTTGTTTTTTTATAGCGCCTTTCAAGAGATCCAAGGACGCTTTACAATGGGAAATAAAACAACAAAATAATAATAGTCACAAGGATACACAGGTTAGAAAAAAAAAAAGCGGTTGCTGGTTACTTCATTTTAGCTGAGGCCAAAGGCCCGGGTGAACAGATGGTGTTTGAGGTGTTTTTTGAAGGTGTCCAGAGAGTCGGCATTCCTGATAGCAGAGGGGAGAGCATTCCAGAGGGTGGGAGCTGCGACACTGAAAGCCCTGTTGCCAAAGGTTTTTAGCTTGGAGCGCTGGATGGAGAGCAGCCCGTTGTCGGAGGACCGCAGTTGACGAGAGGGGGTGTAGGGCTGAAGGAGGTCAGAGATGTATGGAGGGGCTAGGGAGTGGAGAGATTTGTAGGTTAGCAGGAGGAGTTTGTACTGGATGCATGACTTGACCGGGAGCCAGTGAAGGTGGATGAGGGTGGGGGTAATGTGTTGCCAGGGCTTAGTGTGGGTGAGGAGCCTGGCTGCAGAGTTCTGGACGTACTGGAGCCTGTCCAGGGCTTTGCTGGTGACCCCGAACAGGACTCCATTGCAGTAGTCCAGGCGTGAGGAGATTAATGAATGTTTCTGCAACGGGGTCGGGAGAGAGGGCCGGAGTCTAGAGATGTTTTGAAGGTGGAAGAACGCAGTTTTGACAGTTGACCTGATGTGGGAGTTGAAGGTGAGGCTAGAGTCCAGAGTGACGCCCAGGCTGCGAACCTCAGGGGAAGGGTGGATGGAGCAGCCATCGATGGTGAGGAGGAGATCTCCGACCTTCCGGAGTAGTGTTTTTGGGGCCACAACCATAAGCTCTGTTTTGTTTTTATTGAGTCTCAGTAGATTTGTTGACATCCAGGTTTTGATGTCGTGGAGGCAGTTGACTACTGACGGTGGGGGTAGCTGGGATGATGGATTGGTGCTGATGTAGAGTTGGGTGTCGTCGGCATAGGAGTGGAAGTTGAGACCCTGTTGGCGGATGACTTCACCGAGGGGGAGCATGTAGATGTTAAATAGAAGGTAATGGGTATTTGGGTAATGGGGCCTCTGTTTGGTAGACCTGTTTAGTATCCATCCCTGTTTTCACATGGGTGTGTGTGTGTGTGTGTGTGTGTGTGTGTGTGTGTGTGTGTGTGTGTGTGTGTGTGTGTGTGTGTGTGTGTGTGTGTGTGTGTGTGTGTGTGTGTGTGTGTGTGTGTGTGTGTGTGTGTGTGTGTGTGTGTGTGTGTGTGTGTGTGTGTGTGTGTGTGTGTGTGTATTTTTAGGTTGGGTGCAAAGCCTGCAGGCAGCAGTGAGACTCGGCCCCCCGCAGCTGTAGTGACCCTTACCGCTGCAAGATGGACTATCCCTGCATCGGAACCTGTCTGATCATCAACAAGAACTTCCACCCAAGCACAGGTAGATACAACCTTTCTACAAAACACAAAGGTCTTATTTCATAGTCACTTGCACTCAATGTTCTGCATTTTTCATAATGTACACAATAAACATACAATAAGTATAAAAGAGGTCTTCTCTGATGGACTTGTACCAAATCTCGCCCTCCGTCTGTTTAAAAAAGAAAACGATTAAAAGCCTCCACCCTGTCACATCTTCACCTTTAGTAATTTACCAAAATGTCAAATTAGTTAGTTGTGTTTCGCCATTTTCTGTAACATTACACACAATTAGACAAAAGACATTTCTTTGTGACTTAAACAAATGTGGAAAAAGGTGTTTTCCTTCTATCATGTTATATGTCGTTATACATCACAGAAATGGTACTGTACACAACACATTACTTTAAGACATTTTTAAAAGGAACATACCGTACTTTCTCACATTTGATTATTTTATTTGCATCATATGGGACAACACAAAAGACTCAAACCAGTAAAACAAAACAAAATGGAAGCTAAAATGTCCCTGAGAACAATCATATCTAGTGTTACGGTTCTTACACATCCATTTCAAGCTCAGCATTTAAAGCACGTTTCCATCTTTGCCCAAATGACTTTATATTCACCGTATATACCGCCATACTCCCCTTCGATCATTTTCAAAGTTCCCTTTCTCCCACCCGGCAAACAGCAACACCTTTTCATTCATGTCACAAGCTTCAAGTCCAACACAAGAGAGAAAAACATTTAAATAATAATTAAAAACATGGATCTCAATGCTTCTATAACGGAGAGCAAAGAAACGTAGGCAGCATAAACTATTTGCTCTTAGTAGGGATGCATACCGGTATCCGGTAT